TAGCCCCGAAAAGACCCACACCCATCGTCGTCTGTATTTTGTAATTGGGACCTAAGTGTACGAAAGCGCGGTTCTACTGTTAAATACTCCAGCACACTACACTCATCTGTCTGGACCTGCATTCGCTAGACCATCCGGAGCAAACTCCAGCACAGCGAAGAAGACTACTCCCCGAGACGGGATACTTGAAACCAGCGGTTGGATCGCTTCTCTAAGGAGCAGGTTTCTGCTTCCTCTCCGCACTCCGAGTCGGCATACGGCCAAAAAGGGATCATTTGCTTCAATGATGGTTGGGTGCGCGCCTTCTGTTCGGCGCACACTCAACCAAAAACGTGTTACATGCAAGACTGTTGTCAAGCTTGTTGCTGTATGTGTCCAACAGCAAACTGCTGTGAGCTTGCACACTACATATGCGGACCACTGCCGCACTAAAAGTGGCATCACTTGGCACAGCGCACACAAATAAAAGCAGCGGATAGACTACAAAAGGAATAGTGCGCTCATCACCAGATCATCCTTTGGTGTGCCTTGCTTCAGCAGCGCTTGCATTTGTTGCCTCCTAGAATCCAGCCGCTTTTGGAAGTTGTCGGCATTTTCTTTCTCTTGTTTCTTCGCAGCTGCCAGTACTCTTTTGGTCGTCCAATTTTCCACAATCCCGCGCAGGTATCGTTCGTCTGCGTAGTTCAGAGTGCCATGCGANTTTTGGTCGTCCAATTTTCCACAATCCCGCGCAGGTATCGTTCGTCTGCGTAGTTCAGAGTGCCATGCGACTCGCCGTATATACGAGCAACTGCTTGTGCGAATGCCGCAGTTCCAAATGGTCTTCCAGTGTATGGAATCTGGTATTCGGTAGTGGAACGGGCGGCAGTCGCATGAGCGGCGCGGGACGTGTCATCTCCTAACGGTTGAACAAGACGCTCCAAATAATGGCGGGCAAGCAAATTTCCCTCGTGAGCTGTGCTGCCAATATCCAACAACCATACTAATTTGGCAACTAGCCCTGCATCTACGCTCTGCGCGCTGCCACCGCCAAACAGCCCCAAGGAATGCAAGAATTCATTAGCCGTCAAGCCGCCTTCTCGCATCTCCTCAAGCTCCTTAAGAGAAGGGTAAGAGACGGGCTGGTCGTGGCCAGGAACAGGCACAGGCATGCCGAAATCCTTATTCATATCCATGTACCACTTCAATTCCTCTAGGCGAAGCGTGACTGCGCTGCAAATACTCTGTAAGACTTGCACGTGTTGAACGAAGCCCCTGCGCGCCTTCACAGAAGACTCCGGTGGAACTTTGCATTCGCGCATCTTAGCGACGTGGCTACTGATCGTATCCAGCGGATCTCCCAGCAGCTCTTGACCGTCCTTAAGCGATGGTGTGAAATNACGTGGCTACTGATCGTATCCAGCGGATCTCCCAGCAGCTCTTGACCGTCCTTAAGCGATGGTGTGAAATGCTTCCGAAAAGCTTCCCGAACAGGTGGTTCAGAGGATCCCCACGCCTGTTTCATTGCGTCCGCTGCGGCGTTGAACTCATCCACGTACTTACGCACGCTCACTTCGTCCAGTAGTAGCTGTTTGGTTTGTTGGAGATGTGGGGCCAGTGACTGTGGGGCCTGCATGGAGGGCCGCGACCTCTTCGACATAAAGTAACGAGCCCCCGACACTAGTATCACTACAACGGCGACAATTACAGCCTTTGTCGGTCCAACCCGTTTTCGAAGGTGTCTCCACGAATTGTAAGCTGCGCCTTCCTTAGCAAGTTCGTCGCTGCTGTCTGCATTCTCTGTGACAGGTTGGGCTGCTTCGCCTGCCGCCTGATACCGGTCCAACAACCTTGGCAGCCAAGCAAGTGCACCGCGCCTCTGAATCCCCATTATCTGATACGAGAAGGGCGCCAAAACATGTACGTCGTCTTTGAAATAGGTGGGTGCATAAGCCTCTTAAGAAACAGAGCACAGCGGCAACTGAAAGAAACACAGCGGATCCTGGGTGGTTCGCGTTGACAGGGCGATGGGGACGCTTGAACGAATTTGTATTAACTTGAATGGACGGGTAAAATATAAAATGAGAATAATTTCCTGGCAGCCATTGCATGCAGGCTGCCAAACTTCACAGTAGAATGCCTGCCGCAGTGCGAGGTACTACATTGATGGCAGCGAGCTACTTTATGAAGAGAAACGAAAGGAGCAAAACGCATCTAAACAACGAATGTGAGATAGTAAGTGGGTAAAATGAGTGTCTGATGGTGGCTACATCCTGCGGGCGCAGTTGCAAGGCCCATGCTTAGGAGTGGCATCGACCCTGCANTGTCTGATGGTGGCTACATCCTGCGGGCGCAGTTGCAAGGCCCATGCTTAGGAGTGGCATCGACCCTGCAGCCGGCAGCGCCTGTGTGAGCGCAGCTCTGCGAGGAGGAATCCGCAATACCTCTTTAGTACTGAACAGGGTCCCTTCTTATCTTAAAAAACGCGTCAATTATTTTAGTGATGGACCTCGATATATTATTCTTGTGATTTGGAAAGAGCACTGAAGTCAGCATGTTGAAAACTCTTCCAGAGTCGCCAAACTGGGACAGCCGGCTGCCCTCCACGAAACTTGCAAACAATTTAGACAGCGGATCGGGCAAATACCGTTATGACTTGCTACAAATTAATTAAACAGAGGGGTTTTCAAGGCACATTCATCTTTTAAACGTTACTTCCTGAAGCTCTGGGGGCCAATAGATGCCTGCCTGCCATCAATTCCATTTGCTGTGGTGTGCTTGGTGTGCTGCATGGTCGTAGCGTGTGGGTTGCTCCTGTGTCATATACTCTTGAACTCTATATACCTATGAAAGAAAGGTCTCACACAAGTGGATTTCTGTACTTCGTTGCTGGGAACTACATGTACCAACACATGATCGAAACTCCGGTGTCTCCAAGCAATATATGTAGCATGGCCTGCGTTCTGTAAGTACATTCAGATGTAAAGAATGCACCAAAGGAAGCTTCCTTGAAGCTTCCTTTTGTGCACACGTGTGACTGGCTTGTGTTAGCAGCAGCAGCGAGGCGCTCTGCAGCCCCACTTCAGGCTGCCTCGTCGCCGCAACACCCAGGCCCTGAGCTCAACGCCCAAGAGGCCTGGGAAGGGGGGGAAGGATGTCAGCTGGTTTGGGAGACTATTGCTTTAAGTGTTCACGTACATTGCAGCTCGCTTCTGTCATTTATTAAGGCCAGAGAGCTAGCGTTGTTATATACGTAGTTGCATCCGGGCCTGCATTCGCTGGACCACACGGAACAAACTCTGGCTCAACGCAAACATAAATGCGCCAAGAAGGGATACACATAACGAGTAGTGGGCTCGTTTTTCTATGAAGTAGGGTTCTACCCCCCTCGCGCACCGCGGCTTGTCATATAAGGCCAAACGGAGAAATATTTGTTTCAAGGACTGCTGGGTGCGCGCCCCTCTGTTGGGCATGCACCCCACAGAAGTGTCGACTGCAAAACTTCTGTCAACTTCGTAGCTGAAACAGCAGCTGTAAATGGATCGTACAGCGCAAATGTGAACCATTGTCGCACGAATTACGTGGCGTAGTGCACAAGAAAAAATAAAAGCTGCTGACAGACTATAAAAGAGATAATGCGCGCATCGCCAGATCATCATTTGGTACGCATTGCTTTACCAGCGTTCGCATTTGTTCTCTTTTACTATCCAATCGGTCTTGGAAGTGTTTGGCATTTTCTTCTTGCTTCCTTACATCCGCCAGCTCTTCTTCGTTCTCCCAGATTTCCGCAATTCTGCCCACGTCTCGTTCTTTTGCGTAGTTCATAGTGCTATCATTGGTAGCTGTGACGTCTTCATGTAAAATGATGATCTAGTTGACGTAAAGTAACGAAACCCAGACACCAGTATCACCGTAGCAGCAGCGACTGCAGCCTTAGCCGCTCGAGCCTGCCTTCCCCGGGACCTCCAAGAAAAGCGTTCTACGTTTCTGAGCATCTTATTCGTTGTTTTCTGTGACATCCAGGCCGAGTTATGTTCCTCCTACCAGCTCGTGCGGGTCCAACGCCTTTGAAGGCCAATCACCTGCGTCGTGCCGCAGAGACCCCATTATTTAATACAAGAAGGGATAAAGGGCCTTANTGAAGGCCAATCACCTGCGTCGTGCCGCAGAGACCCCATTATTTAATACAAGAAGGGATAAAGGGCCTTACAGTTTATAGTCGCCTTCCACTGCTCTGGTGCGTATATAAAAGGAAACAGCGCAGAATGGCCGCTTCAGGGACGCAAGGTATCTGAGCGAGGCAGTTGTGACGCTTGGGCGAATTTGTGCTGAAATGAGTGTAGCCACTGCATACAGGCTGCCAAACTTAAGCGTAGAATGCCTGCTCCAGTGTCAGGAACTGCATTGACGCCAGCGAACTGCCTTGGCAAGCAGAATGAAGGGACTGAAACACTACCAAAGACTAAATGAGATATAGCTAGCGGAGAAGATCAGTGTGTGGTGGCGGTTGGAGCCTGCGAGCTCAGCTGCGAGGCTCGTGTTTTGAGTGGCATCGACCCTGGGAACGGCAACACTGTCAACGCATCGGGTGCAAGGAAGAATCGCCAGTTCCTGTGTGGTACTGAAGAGAACTCCAGGCTATATTGGAAACATGAGTTAGGTATTTCTTTGATGGGTATGTAGATCTTGGGTGTGTTTTTGGGGGCGCTATTTGAAATCCACTGAAGTTAGCTGCTCGTAGAGGCGTCCTCACTGGGCTTGGCTTGTTGACGACCTACCATTAACACAATGCAGAATGCAGCTCGGGGGCAACGACCGCGGGCGATTTGCCGCGAAATCATTGAATGGATCGGCTTGAAGTACAAATACAATTGTGAAGGTGGAAGGATGAGTGTCCGATNCGCGAAATCATTGAATGGATCGGCTTGAAGTACAAATACAATTGTGAAGGTGGAAGGATGAGTGTCCGATTGTGGATAGTGCCTGGGGGCTCAGCTGCGGGGCCTTTTTTTCGTACTAGCATCGATCCTGCAACCGTGAGAGGGCCTCTGTCAAAGCAACAGTGCGAGGAGCAACCCCGAGTCCCTTTTTGATATTGTAGAGATATCCTGCCTGTTTTAGACAGATGTTTTGGCTATTTCCGTGTTGTCACTGCATATCTTAGGCTTGCCTGTTTGGTGTGTTGTTTGAAGTCCACTGAAGTTAGCCGTTATCTGAGGCTTACTTCGTTGCCAAGCTACTTAGGCCCCCGCCCCCCATGAAATTTGCACACAGTCGAGAGTGCGGGCTGGCTAAGGACCTTTCTTAGTCGCCACAAATTAGTTGAAAGGAGGGGCCTTCAATAAAAATATACGGTTCAAAGGTGGTTTGTCGAAATTCCGGGGATACTGTGGCGTTTGTTTGTCCTCAGAATATTTTCACCAGGTCATTCAGTGTGCTTTTTGAGCAGCATTGCCGTAACGCAGCAAATGTTCCTGATCGTTCATCGCCCCAGGTATATAGCTCCGAAAAGAAATGCGCACACGATGGACTCCCATATTCTGTAAGTAGAATCCACGTGTGCGAATGTTGTTCAAACTGCGAATCGCCACCATTATACATAGTTTTGTCTGGATTTGCATTCCATTGATCATCCTGAACACACTAGGGCGCAGCGCGAATGACCACGTTCGGAGAAGGGATACGCACAACAGGTAATGCGTTCGCTTTTCTCCGAAGTACTGTTTCATTTCCACTCTGCGCTTCGATTTGTCATGAGGCCAAATGGAGAAGGCTTGCTTCAGTGCTTGTTGCGTGCGCGCCTTCTGTTGGGCAAACATCCCAAAATAAACGGGTTAAATACAAGACTGCCCTCAAGTTCGTAGGCGCAGCAGCAACTGTAACGGGATCGGACACGACGGATGCGGACTCATGGCGCAGTGAAAGTGGCATCACTTGGCACAGTGCACACAAATAAAAGCATCTGACAGACTATAAAAGGAATAATGCACTCATCACCAAATCGTCCTTCGGTATCCCTTTCTTCAGCAGCAGTCGCATTTGCTCCCTCTTAGTCTTCAGCCGGTTTTGGATCTTGTTCGCATTTTCTTTTTCTTGCTGCTCTGCAGCCAACAGTACCCCTTTGTCCGTCCAATTGTTTGCAATTCGGCTCAGCTTTTGTG